ATACTTTAAAAAAATATGTTTCTATGAAAAAATTGAGAGATAACTATTCGGTAATATAAATTAACTTGTTCTCAAATATTTATAGTTGAAATTTAGATTCTTATTAAGAATTTATGAAGATTTAATTATTTTAAAATCAAAAATTTATTTAAATATTATGATTATTTATACTAGTTTGACGACTATTTAAAAAAAAAAACTAATTTGACTAAAATTTGATTGGACAAGAAATTTTCAGTTTCCAAAAATTTTATTGTGATAATGATATAGTAAAAATTACTTTATAATTTTTTTTAAAAATTTTTATGCATTGATAAAATTCTGAGAATGATGTGTAAACTTGTTTAATTGGGGTAAATGAGATGTCAATATTTGTTAATTCTTTGGACAATGGTCCTATCCTTTATAATTCAGGTATAGTTGTATTTCTGATCAACAACTTTGTAGTTAATTAAGTTGCATATGCCTAACAATAATGTAAGAACAATTTTGTCTCAATAAAAAATAATAGTATAATATTTGTAAAATAATGTATAATTATACTATTATAAAAATGCAGATGAAAAATATCAATGGATCCAGTGAATAGTTCAAGTTTGAGCGGAGTCAAACTTAAACTTAAAAAAGTAAAATTTAATCGAGTTCATCTGAAGTTTGAATCTTGTTTGGATAGACAATAAAAATTATTATCCATGATTACAATCAAGATAGTTTACAATCCAAAACAAAAGATTTCATGTTAAGTAATCTCAAGAAGTCCACCATATCAAATTAAACAACATTCTCCTGGAACCACAAATTCCTCTCTAGAGCCGGAAAGGAGATCCTTTTAAAGAGTGTTATCCAAGCGATACCTTCCTATGCTATGAATTTGTTTTTGCTCCCCCAGGGGCTGGTGAGTGATATAGAGAGGATAATGAATGGGTTTTGGTGGGGGAAAGGTGGAGCGCAGGGGAGGGGTTTAAGATGGATGGCTTGGGAAAAAATGTGTGTTCCAAAGAAGTGGGGTGGTATGGGTTTCCGTAGGATCAAGGATTTTAATCTAGCCTTGCTCTCGAAACAAGCTTGGAGGTTGATCAACTACCCCGATTCTCTTGCTGCAAAAATTATGAAGGCAAAGTACTATCCAAATTCACAGTTCTTTGAGGCAACAAAGGGAGGTAACCCGTCTTTCGTTTGGTCTAGTCTGCTTGAAACAAAAAACATCATTAACCGAAATTGTAGATGGAGAATCGGAAATGGGCTTTCTGTTCGCATATGGCACGACAAATGGTTACCTGATGTGGTCAATCCCATGGTCACAACTCCTCCTTTTCCTTATCTTTCTGATGCAACAGTGAGCTCCCTCTTGAATGTCCAGGGATCGGGCTGGGATGAGGGTGTGGTTAGAGACATCTTCAATCCCAGGGATGCTCAGCTTATTCTCAGAATTCCTATTCCGCAGGTTGCTAGGGAAGATATGGTGATTTGGGCCAACGACGAGAAAGGAATCTTTACGGTTAGGAGCTGTTACAAATCCATCTCAGGTGATCTGGGCAGTGTCCCTACTGCAAATTGGGCTGTCGTTTGGAAGGCACATCTCCCACCTAAAGCGAAGACCTTCATCTGGCAAGCTTGTTCCGGCTGTCTCCCAACCGCAGACAAGTTGCGCCAACGGAGAATTGATTGCAGTCCTCTGTGTCCTATGTGTCTTAATGCCGAGGAATCAGCTATCCATCTTCTTACTGAATGCAGATTTGCAGCACAGTGCTGGAGTTTTTTTGGTCCTCTGCCAGATTTTAGTATGTTCCATAACTGTGCGGACTGGTTCGCCAAGGTTTTCACCTCTTTGCAGCCCTCACAAGTCAGTCTCTTTATTATTATCTGTTGGAATATTTGGCGTGCAAGGAACGATAAAGTTTGGAAGAACACTTTTGTGCCAGCCAAAGCTATTGTGGAAAAGTCAAAAGCTTTCTGGAGAGATTGGAGTTCTTGCACTAATGTGGGTGGTCAGCAAAGGCTCAGACAGCATCAGAATGTTTTGAAATGGAGTAAGCCGAGACAGGGGTGGTTTAAGCTCAATGTCGACGCAACTTTAGATGTTAATTCCGGCAAGATGGGACTTGGCTGGGTTCTTCGTGACCATCACGGCATATTTGTTGCAGCAGCCACGCTATCCATGGAATGGTGTCTTCTCTCCCAAAGAAGCCGAAGCCTTAGCTATCCGGGAAGCTCTCAGTTGGACGAAGCTGCATAATATCCAATTCATTCATGTGGAATCTGACTCTTTATTGATTGTTCAAGGGCTTTCATCTCTTTCTTTTGTCACCTCATTTGACTTACTTCTAGCTGATATTAAAGATATGTTGAGCACTTTTGCTCATTGTTGTATCTCTTTTGTTAAACGTTCTGCGAATCGGACGACCCATCTCCTAACGAGGGAGTCCGTTTCTATGTCTGAACGTATGGAGTGGTTTTCCACCCCTCCTTCCTTCATATGTAATGCTCTGTCCTTTGATTTAATATAAGCTTGTTATGGTTTCAAAAAAAAAAAAAACATTCTTCACAGACTTAGATGGGATTGGCTAGTGGCTACCCCAATCCCTAGTAGACTAGACTAAACTCACTTTTCCTTTTCCAAAGTTTTCAGCCTAGCTTGAAGACTAGCCACGTGCTAGGCATAAAACAACAACCAAATATCAATTCAATTACTATAATAGAGTGAGCATACTAAACCACAATAAAAAGTATGCATCATCATATACGTGTAAGACTAGCATCATAATTTAGAGAAAAATACTACATATATTCTCATTTCTTAGTCTCAATTTTTGCTTCCTCTCATTAATTTTTGATGTAGACATATTCTTTGGGACCTACATAATAAAAATAGTCAATTTTTGTTTACCATGTCATAGAATACAAGTAAGGGAGTAAAATTTGGGAATACATGTAGTAGAACTTTAATTTAGGATGGGAAAATACTTGGTGTATTATCATTTTAAACCCCTAACTTATACTCCCTCTCACATGCTCTAGACATTTTTTTGTGAACTCACATGATGAAAATAACCAATCCTGATTTGCCAAATCAGAGAGTATAAATGAGGGAGTAAAATTTTGAAAATCTATGTAGTAGAACTCTTTAGGATGCCCCTCGTAGTTGGTCGCAAGATGTAATTATACGTTAGAAGCTGTGCAAATGAAATAATTTTTTTTTGTTAAGAACAAATGAAAATTTTAAAACGAAAAAATACTACATGAATCTCATTTTTTACTCTCAATTTATACTTCTTCACACAAATTTTTGACGTAGACACAGTTTTTGGAACCCATGTATGAAAATATCCAATATTTGTTTGTCATGTCATGAAGTAAAAGTAAGATAATAGAATTTAGAATTACATGTAGTAAAACTCTTTTTAAACAATACTTCCCGAAGAATAATGTAAGGGGCGTTTGGTTCAGGTTATATAATATAACCAAGGTTATATTTGTTCCGTAATATAAGATTCTCATGTTTGGTTCAGGTTATGTAACTTTCTTAGGGAATATAAGATAACCTCCGTATTAAGTTTTTAACTATTTGAAGGAAATGTGAGATACCCTCCAATTTCTTAGGTAATCTAAAATTTTATTGTCTTATTACTAATGTTGAGCTTTAGACGTTTTAATCAATTTATCTTATTACCGTTGTCTTATTTACATATCTTAATTTTAAATCAAACACGAAAATCTAACATTTCCAGCAATATAACATTCTCTAAGTTAATCTAACATTCCGTGAACCAAACACCCCCTAAGAATAATTATCTATCCGGTAGAATAATGTAAGAATAATTATCTATGCAAGCACTCCCTAAGGAAAATTGAATTACATTTCATCATTAGTAAAATTGTCAAATCATACTACATGGATAAAAAAAACTTCCACTATAATGTACTATATATATACACATATGGAATTAATTCTTAAAATTTGTTATCTAAATGTGTCTTTTATGTCAATTTATTTAACGTCATTAAAAATGTTATCGTATTTAACGTCATTCAAACATATTTGTTGACTATAGAGGATCAAAAATGGTCATGACACAATAATATTATGATAAACAAAAATATTTTTTTTTTTTAAAAAAAGAGAGACTAAAAGTAGAATAACACTTATAAGTCTAGGACTAAAAATAAAATTAATTTTAAGAATATTTAATAGTGAATTAGAACGAAAAATTAAAATCTAACTCGCTTAAAATAGTATAACATCAGTTTAGCAAGTGCCTTAAAAAAAATAAAGGAATCTATTGTATGTTATGGGAACGAAGAAAGAGAAAAAAAAGTGAGGGAGACATGGATCTAACATTTAAAGAAATGGGGTTTAACAAAACCATCGAGCAAGCACATTTTGTTTGGTAATAATTGTTCAAAAATTAGGAGAAAAAAGTAAACTATAATATCATAATGGAATAAGGGTGAAATGGGCCATCGAACTGTACACAATAATGCAATTAGGCTACTGAACCTAAAAAATAACAATTAGGTCACTAAATTAACCAATTTCTTTCAATTAGTCTAATTTATAGATTTTGCAGGTTAGTAACAGGTCATCCAAAAAATTTAAAATAATTTTTTAAAAAATTATTATTTAAAAACAATAAATTAAAATATATTAAAAAAAAAAGTTTCTTCGTCTCCATGGCCGGAGACGAAGAAACTCTTTGTCTCCATTGTTGAAAGAATGATTGATCATAGGCTACCATTGTTGAAAGAATGGTTACCTAATCTTACCCAAAAAATTGCGATGGCAATTTTATAAATAAATGATCAATAATCCGCCACCGATATAGCTGTAATGGTTGCCCATTGTATTTTTTATATATTTAAAAAAAAATTAATTTTTAATAAGCAACCATTTCTAATAGAAATGGTAGCCTTAAAATAGAAATTATTTTTTAATAGTCAACCATTTCTAATAAAAATGGTTGTCTAATATTAAACCTATATCTACTAGATCAGAACGAAGTCGCTCGCGTCTCAAATCAGAACGAAATCGCTCGCGTCTCAGATCAGAACGATCCACCGTCGCACCAATCGTCTCACCACCGCCACCACGTCGTTGGCCTGCGGCGACGCCACTCCGCACAGCACCATCCACCGTCGCACACTCGCCACCGCGACGCCGACGCCACCACCGCCAACGTCCGTAGATCTGAAGCTCCTCCTTGCCCCGGGACGACGACCCCGGCTCCTCTGTGACGCCAGTCTCCCGCCTCCTTCTTCAGCCGGAGATTGGGGCTGCCGGCGCGGCTTCCTCGTCCGATCAGCAGGTTAGTGTTTTTTTTTTTTTTTTTTTTTTTTTGTTATTGATTTTAAATTGTGCCCTCAATTCATGATTCTCCGAAGGGTTATAAGAAGTTTCCAGTAAGCAATCCAGTGCAAAACGGCAATCCTAAATCCAATCCCTAATTCCTTTTGTTTTTCTCATTCCCCACACAATTGTTCAATTTCCCATTCCAACCCTAAATCCCTAATTCCTTTTGTTTTTCTCATTATTCAGATGCGATTAGAATTGAAATGGTAGGTGTTAGCTGATTCCAGTGCAAAACGGCAAGAAAATTCTTTCAAAAAGGTAATTTCAATGCTTTTTTAAAACTTTATTTTAGCTGATTATGTTAAAAGCTGAGTGAGTCTGTTTAGCTTACCCATTGCTCTGTTGGTATGGTATATAAATGTGAATTTGGCTCAATACATACCTTGTTGATTACAAATTAGGTTGTTGGATGAATTCCTCAATTAAATATAATTGCCTTAAGCCTTTAAGGCAGAGAACTGGGCTGCCATGGGGTTGATCCCACCATGGGAAATGATGTCCCATGTCTTGTGAGCTTCTTTGAAACAGAAAAGCAGAAGATGAGTTTGGATTTGCAACAATTCCTAGAAGCTTTTAAAATGTAAAGGGAAGTCAAAGCCATGAGGTTGATGGAACATTTTTTCTTTGGATTGGAGGCATAAGGAGGACCTTGCAGTTGGGCACCTTTGCTGAACTGGGTAATTTGATGCAAAACTTTTCTACAGCAACAGTTGCAGAGCTGAGATGCAGTTTTGCCTTTGAGTCTTGCATTTGCAATGATCTGTTATACTCCAATAGTCAAATTGAGAAAGGAGGAACAAGGAAGGTGGATAGAAGACTGATCTAGATGATCTCTTAATCTGAATGAAGAGGATTCTGAGTGATTAGAAGCTGAAGTGTTACACTAACAGTCCTGAGTAATTGGTGATATGGAAATGGCTGAAATTGCATACAATTCAGCTTATTGCAGGTTCTAAAAACAGGTGCTGAGCCTCTGCAATACTAACAGGTCTGATTTGTCTTTAAATAAACTCAAGGATGATCCACGGCTTAGTGATTACTATCTGGATTGCTGGTCTAGACTGATCTGTTTGGAGATTGGACTTGAATAAACACTGATTTGCAGCATGTGAAGCATGAAGATGAGAGGCTGCATTGCAATCTTAAAGCTGCTTTGGTAGCTGAATTATGTTGGTAAATTGCAGGTTTAAGTGGCAGATCTATTCTAAAATGATGACTTAGTCCACTTGGATAGGGGGACTATGGTTCACAATTTGGAAAATGGTTTGTGATCTAGACATGGATTAGAATTCTTTGCAGCTGTGCTACTGCTGATGCAAAGAATTGGCAGTGCTGATTGGCCATGTGAAATTGAAGATGGGCTGCATATGGCCGAATTGGGCCTGATTGGAAGCTGGACAGATTTGCTATGGCCAAATGGGCTTGATGGCTCTTTGAGTCTTTTGGGTTTTTTGGTTATGATGCCAGATGCCTCAAAGACTGGTGCTGCTCAAGAGGTTGCACAAAACATTAAAAGGGCAGGCAAAGCAATAACTGAAACTGAGGCAAGGCAAGTCCTTGCCGTTGCTGAGAATTCGTCATGGGAAGAAATCATCCATGTTCATTTCATCTAAATCTTGCTCTTTCTGATGCTTTCTTTTTCCTCACATATGAACCTCTATGTTTTTCTATTTTTGTGCAAAAGTACGATAACTTGTTTGAGCAAAATGCAAAGAACGGAAGCTTCTATCTCCAATCAAAGGTGCATAGAGCAAAAGAATGTCTAGAAGCTGTGTACCAGAGTAAATCTGAGGGAACAAATTAAAGAATTGGTTTTTGGGTGTTACTTTTATCCCTTTCATCTGCTCATTTGCACATATTTGTTTATTCTAGTTTTCAGTTAAGTTTCTAGTTTACACCATATTTTTTGCACCTGCTCAACAATTAAATCAGTCACACAACTCTGTTTCTTATAGTATTTAGTTTTGTCTGCTATGGATGTTCACAATTTATGTGCAGAACATAAACTAAGTTATTTTTGAGTAATGATAAAATTTAATGTGTTACTGAATTATCAAATGTGTATTACTCTGTATTAACTATATGTAATTGGAATATTAAATGATCTATGTATTAACTATATGTAATTCAGGTCTCATTCATCTTCTTCACTAGTTCTATTGCTTTGTCCTGACTATTTTTTATTTCCATCAATTCAGCTTGTGTTTTCATCATCAGCAACTGTTTATGGTTCGCCAACTGTGTGAGATATATGTGGATGCAAAGGATAAGATGGAGAAGCACATAAAGTTGCTATTTGAACTCAAGGAACTACCTGAGACTTTCATGGGTTTGCAGGTTTAATTCTTTCTAGCTTCATCTTTTTCCCCTCTCTCTCTATGTCTCTTTTTATTATTTATTTTAGTTTTTGTTTTTTTTTTAATATTCCTTCTATTTAGTTTCATTGGTCCGTGGAGCATCTCTAGGTTGGCTCTGCTTTTTATTTTTAATTTTTCTCATCTACTTGCTTTACTCATACTCTTAAATTGATCTTCTACTTTACAGCTTTTAGTTTCGTTTTTCTTTTTCTTTCAAAAGGGATGGAGTAATATGATAGTTTTTTTTTTTTTCTTCCTTTCAGATGGAAACAGCTATTGTAAACAATGGAACTAGATATTATGTGATGGCTGTTACTCCCACACGCCTATATTCTTTTACTGGGATTGGGTCGCTAGAGGTAATTTCATTTTTGTGTTTATCAGATTCATTTTACATGTAACTTCCTGGACATCTACAATAGAAGGAAAACAAAAATAAATTCTTCATTTTCTTTTGGATTATTTTAGTAACTAGTTTTTCATTTTTTAAGCATTGTTTTCCATTTTCCCAACTTGACAAAGGATTTGGAACACATTTTTTTTCTTGTTTTCCAAATACAAAAATACAGATAACTCCATTTATAATCATTACCTACAAACTTAAACTTCACTTATCTATCATTCTATCTACTCCTACCATCTATCCACCCACCTATCTATATACCCCTACCTCCACCTACCTACCCTATCATCATCCCTATCTACTTTTCTTCCATAATCTCCATTACGCCTAGTATATATACCACCGCTATAACTACATTTAATGCTGTTTTTCTTACTTCACCCACCATCATCTATCTTCTATATTTCCATCTACTTATTTCAATATAATCTACTTACTTGCACCTAGGATTAAATGTTATTTAGGATGACAATGGCTAGGGTACCAACCCCTTTAGCCATTTCTGAACTCGTCCCGTACCTGAATAAATATTACTTGTATTTGTCCAAACCTGTTCCACACTACTTGTATGGTACCCGAAACCAGTTTAATATATTGAACAAAAAAGATAAATACAGCACGTGCACATACACACACAGGGGGGTTTCTCTACTTCCTGAACCTGTGACGAGTATTATTTTGCGGTTTTGTCTGCCCAAACTCATCCCAAGCCTAATTTTCAACTATCTGAACTTGTTCTATTAGGGTCTGGGAGGGTTGGGTACTTGGTATTACCCAACTTCTTGTTATTCCTAGATGTTTTTTAAATCATACTAATTAAAACTCTAAAAGTATTAATTTTGAATATTCAAAATAATATTTAGATAATACCAACCAGGGTTATCAAGGCGTCGCCACCTAGGCGTCTGGGTTATCAAAGATGACTTGAAGTAAATAGGGTTCAAAAAGGCTTCCCAAGACAAGATATTTCCAATATATACAATAAATACTAAACTTCTCATTATTCTAGGAAAAACTATTCATCTACTAAAGGCAACTTGAAGTAAATAGGTTGCCCAAGACAATATTTTTAATATATATGTATATATTTTATATATTTTATTTATTTAATAGTCATCGCCTAGGCGGTCGCCTAGTCGACTAGGCAGTTGGTGGCATCTCGCCTAGAAAGCCCGCCTTGATAACCTTGATACCAACCCGATCTGATGCACACACCACTCAATATTATTGGTGCTTATTACTAGCATTGTAGGTTAAAATGAACAGAAGAAAAAGAATTTCAAATAACTTTGTATTTGATGACTTGGAAAATAATATATAAAATAGATGCTCATAATACGATTTTGATTTTTCTATCATTTTCCCAATGGAAAAAGAAAAATGAGAAAACTGTGGAAAAAGAAAACAAAAAAATGAACTAAATACGCCCTAGTGTCAATTGCTATTTTTAAGTCCTACATTAAAATATCTAGCTAACATCTTTTGTTTGTAACTTAATTTTCAACTTCTTTTGTTGTGCACTCTTGCCTATGAACATGACATTTGTGTTTTCCATGCTTTGCACTTCTGTTTAATTGTTTTTTTTTTTCTTCGGTGTAGTCTGTTTTTGCTAGTTATGTGGACCGCACAGTACATTTCATGGAGCTTCCTGGTGACATACCTAACAGGTAAGTTCTTTACAATTTTACATATTATATTGTCAAATATAATGGGTGTTGGACAAAATCTTTGCTTTCTCCTTAAATGTGGAAGGATACAATTGGTGCCTGCCTGTGCAATATCTAAAATATTCTTCAATGAAATTGTGTAATTTGGAACTCTAGTGTGACAGAAAAAATGCCTGCAGTATTAACATGAATATATTTATGGAACTAATGCAGCGTATTGCTATGAAATTGCAATACTGTAAATCAGGGATAGTTATCTTTTGTGTGTAAATCATTATAGATTTTAAGCTCTTGACTTCACATGTATTCGAAATCATTATTCTTTTTGCAGAGGATCTATTTGCAAAAATACCCTATATTATTCGAAATCATTATCCTTTGCAAGCAGAATAGCCATTTCAGATTCTCCCATGGAATGAACTATTTCCATTGACTGTGGAATTGACCATGTTTTTGAGATAAAAATACCCTATATTTTAGTATTTTCAACCACTATTGTATTATGTTATGATAGAGTGTGTATGTAGGTGTACATTATACGCTAACACACGCTGACATGCACATATACATACGCATGTATAACACACACACACTCTCTGTTAATGACTTTCTAATTTCTATTCATCTTCCATTTCTTAACCCAACCATATTATTCTTTAATAATGAAATAGTATTTCTAGTATATTTTTCCTCTATTCCATTCCTTATGAAATCCTATTCTTATTATCTAGTTTTATTTCTGTGAACCAAACTGGCAGTCAAGGTATTAGCAACTTTCTTAGTTTTCTAGAGATTTTTTTTAGTGTGTTACACATAATGACTTTTGCAGTATAGAGCCATTCATCTCAGTAGTACTTGAAGTCATATTTCTGAATGTTGATTCTGGAAACTAGTTGGCAGCTTGTCATAACATTTCAGGGGCATAATGGGAACTTGTTTGATTATTTGTACATATTTTTACTTGAAGCATATAATTTCCCCCAAGCATCTAATTTAATATTTTGTTTTCACAATTCTTGGTGCATTATGTAGAAGCCCACAAGATTATTTTATTGGTAGATTGTGAACAGGATTAGTAAGCAGATAGTAGAAGAACTTGTTTTTGATCAAACACCTGATGCAGTTTTAAGGGGAATCAGTGGGTTATGCAGTGATGCGTCTGCTGGACTGTTCTATGCATATGACCAAAACTCTATCTTCCAGGTTTCTCTAGTCATTGTTATTAACTGTTCATTGATGCACTAGGTAACATATTTCATCGGATGATTCTTGCCAAGCAAAACCTTGATGTAATACCGACTTCTGTTGCCCACTGTTATTTATTCTTTTTACGATATATTCTCATTTCATTAGACTTGTGCTTTCCTACATCTTTCACATATTGGGTATCTACTTTGATGTTGAAAACTTGGTGCTTTTTCTGTAATCCTTTCTGTAAGTGTAAATTAGGCCATTAAATTCTTTCATGAGTTAAATGAACTAATTAATTGTTGATATACAGCATTCATGCTTGAGTCACATGACACATTTATTCATTCTGTAATGAATAATGAGATTACTTACCTTTTAAGAAGTAATCTACTTTCATTGTCATAGTCTCTATATAATAGCTTTCTTATATTGTTTTTGTTCCTCCAGGCTGTGAAGTATACAACTTAGGAACTTAAAAAGGTACATCAGTCTTGGAAATGGTAACAGCATTCGAGAAAGTATCAGGAAAGGTAAAAGCAAGCTTGGATGGTTCATTTTATTCTTGCTTAGTTGTTGTGATTAATGTCTGTCTAGGTATTTGGTTATAATATTTCAAAGAGTTCATAACGTTAGGCGTTGCTTTAGTCGTGGTATGGTATATTAACAAATCCATTTTTGTGTTTGGATAGAAAATTTCACTGGTGATGGCTGCCCGACGACCTGGTGATGCTGAAATTGTGTATGCAGCAAACGAGAAAGCGGAACGGGAATTAAAATGGAAGTAAGTGTGTGGTTGGCGGATAGAATAATGAAAACCCATAATTGGGGCCTCAAGCTAACATTTAATTTTCTTCAAGGCAAAATATGGCATTGATGAGATGTGCAGAGATCAGTAGAATTGGGCAAGCAAAAACCCCTATGGTTATGGGAAATCTACCTGATGCTCAGCTATTGTTAGAATGTTAGAAATGGAGGGAGCATCTATCTTTGGATAAAGAGTAGGAATTAACTGAGAAGAGGAATGCTTTGCATTTCTTTCTCTGCTAGTTGATGCTAGTTCAATTCATTCATTGATTAGTAAAGTGACAAGCATAAATAAATATAGAATTGTAAATATGTAATTTCATTTATGTTTTTTACTTTCATAATGGTTTTTAAATTATTTTTAATTTTTATTTTATTTTTTTAAAACAGTATCCGCGACTGTTGAAGAATGGTCGCGGAAAGATGATTTTAAAAAAAAAAAAAAGAAAAAACAATACGCGACCATTCCTATCCAAGAATGGTCGCGTATTACATTTGAATAAAAAAAATAAAAAAACAATACGCGACCATTTTTAAATGGTCGCGTAAAGTCCATGACTTTCCGCGAGCCTCTCATAGGCAACCATTGTACAATGGTTGCCTATTGTCTTTTACAATGGTAGCGTATCTGCAATTTTGTACTGGTGAAGTTAAGTTCTATCAAAGAAAATCCATATCTAAACCTCACTTGAGACAAGTAGTGTGTATATATAAGGGGTATCCCCTCCTTTATAACAAAAGAAAATCCATATCTCTTTATTTATGGGTTTTATTCTATTTTATTTTATTTTATTTGTGAAGCTTTGAAATATTACGTAGGATCCTATATTTGAACACAACACTACATGCAATGTACATCCTTTATTTTTACCTATGTATCTAAATAATTGTAAAAATTTCTGTCCACCATTCATCAAATGCATAGCTTCTCTAATATTTTGATGATTTCCTATATTTAGAGATGTAAAGTAAAGAAAAATTTTGGCATATGAATTGCATAATCTATCTGATTGAGCAAAATGTGGATGGGTTAGGTACTACGTATGTGTGTTATTTTTTAGAAAGCTGGTAGAAATTTGCAATTATTACAATATAGTATTCATTGTGTAAACTTTGCTCTATTTTAATATTCTACAAACTACATATAAGAGATAAGTCGCATTAGAAAGATCTTGTGCGACAAGTTCGACTAAGATGGTGAAGACAAAACTTAAACGCGTAAATTCATTGTGTACAATTGTAATTATAGGGAGATTTAGATTTATTTGTAATATGTGTCAATAAAAAAGTTTAATGATATATTTTTTATACATTAATTTTATTTGTAGAAAAATTAAAGGAGAAAAATAAAGTTAAATTGAAAAAAAATTATGTAATATAAAGGGTAATTCTATTTGCACCACCCTATTTGCTATTTACACCACCCTATTTAATAGGTATAACAACTTTGTAGGTGGTGCAAATAGAAAAGTCAACATCCTTAAATGTGGTCAGATATTAATATTTATTATTCCATTTTTTTTATCCTCAAAATATTAATTTAAAAAAAAAAAAAAAGAAGAAGAAAGATAACCCACCCGTCACCTTCTCCGGTGAGAAGGCGATGGACTGCCTTCTCACCGGAGAAGGCGACCCACTAGGCTGCCTTCTCATCGGAGAAGACAGCAAAGTTTAAAAAAAAAAAAAAAAATAATCTGTCACCTTCTCCGGTGAAAAAGCGAGTGGCTGCCTTCTCACCGGAGAAGGCAACTGGGCTGCCTTCTCCGGTGAGAAGGCAGCCCAGTGGGTCGCTTTCTCACCGGAGAAGGCGACCCAGGTAGCTTTCTACCCGGAGAAGGCAACCCACATAGTCGGGCTGCCTTCTCCGGTGAGAAGGCAGTTCCTCGGCCTTCTCACCGGAGAAGGTGACGCTTCGTTTTTTTTTTAATTAATAAAATATTGAATTAATAAATTATTAATTGAAGTTTGACCAGGTGGTGCAAATAGCAAAGGGTAATTCAATTTGGCTATTTACACCACCTATTAATTATTAAAAGTTTTTACCTTTTTATAATTTCAAGGTGTTTTATATCCAGTTTTAGTCAAAGGGTGGTGCAAATAGCAACACCCATAAAAGTAGAAAAAGAAGAATTAATTTGGGGAAGGAGGAATTAATTTCTGTAAATGGTGGTATAATATTGACGTGTTCCTAATCACATGCATGACCTATAACCTTGTGCCTAATTAATTTATTGGCTTTTTGGACAAAATTTGTTTTCTGTAGATTAAAATAAAGGATAACAGTTAATTGAATGCGAAGGATATTTGTTTTTGTATGATCTCTCGTTAAATAATAGGATTACCTCTTCATTAGTCATTATTTATGCAATTATGTTGCCTTAGTTGTTTCCTAATTGATATTCTAAATATTTTAAAATTATATATAATTAAATGTGGGACGGCGCATGGAGGATGGTGGCCACGACATTGAGTGCGTACCAGAGAGCCAACCACCGTCCTCCTCGGCGGCACGGAAAAGATTTGTTATAATTTTTAAATTATAACAACGAATATTATATAGTGCAATTGATGAAATAGGTTGTATCGATTATGTTTTTTTATGTTATCTTTGCTTGAATTCGAGTAAATAATTGCCAAATTATCCGTGCAGTACGCGTGCAATGTGCGTGCGATGCACGGATAATTTTTTTTTGTTATATATTTAGATAATAAAATTACGGTATTAGTTTTAAAGATTTTAATTTTGATAGGGCCTTATTTATTTACTCGAGCAGGGCCAAAAAATCTAAAAATCGGCCCTGGCTACCTTCTGTATTGTCCTTCTCTTGTCGGACGACCAGTTTACGGCGGCTCAAAACGGAAGGTTACCGCCTTGTTTTTCGCCACTCATGGCGGAGACCCATGCCTGTAAGGAAGCTCTATCTTGGTTGTTAGAGAAAGGTGTAACATCGATGGACCTGTTCACGGATTGTATGGACTTACGGAACATTCTACGCCAGGTGTCAGCAAATATTCTATCCTATGTTGGCGTTATGGTCGATCAATGTAGGGAGGCCATGACATCGTTTAATTATTGCACTTTAAGTTATATTTCTAGAGATTTAAATTATCATGCTCATATCCTAGCTTCTTTAGCATTTGATCAGGACAGTTTATGTATTGAGATTCAATCCCTCCTGACTTTATCACAGCTTTGGTTCATTAATACAATCATTGTTTGGTTCGCTTTCAAAAAAGAATACCTCTTAATGATGATACTACAATATAATAAAGTCAATAGTACTATAAAAAAAAAATACTTCTTAATAATAATTCGGGCATAAAGAATAAATAATTACTAAAATAAAAAAATCGGTGCACGTGTTGGGAAAAAAAGAAATTGCTGAGTTAACATTTATTTATAATATAAGACTCTTAAGATTTGAAAACTCATCATCAATATAATTTTTAAAAATAAATAAATAACTCAACAATATTTCTAATCGATCAGCCCATCAAAATTGATTGTTTAATTCAATTTTCCCTTATACTATCTTTTTTGTTCAAGATTTTCATAACTTTGCATAATTAAAGTCAATTAAGTCATTTTCGGGCATATATATGCTATTATGCCATCAAGATTAATTCCCTAGTTTAAGTTTTGTTATTGTCCGATCCTTTTGACCGAACTCGTTGCATAAGATTTTCTTAATGCGATTTATCTCTTATATGTGGTCTGTGAAATTTATACAATTCATACTATATTGTAATAATTTTAATTTTCTATCAATTTTTTAAAAGATAACACACACATATATATATGTAGTACCTAACCCATCGACATTTTGCTCAATCAAACTATGCAATTCATATGCCAAACTTTTTCTTTACATCACATCTACTAATATAGGGAATCATCGAAATGCTCAAATTTTAAAAGAAGATATGCATTTAATGAATGTACATTGCATCACGTGTTGTGTTCATATATAGGACTGACCCTACCAAAAATTTCAATGAATTTCATTATACCTAATCAATAGCTTTTTTATACTATATACAAATTAAAGCTTCACAAATAAAATAAAATAGAACAAAATCATAAATGAAGATATATAAGTTTGGTTTGATAGAACTTGTTTTAAAATTATTTGACGGATAGAATCCAATAAGGAGACAATTAAGACAGTTGCCTCCCCTTCCTCACTCCACCCCACCCCACCCTTTAATTTCAAATTAAATGTAAAGAATTATTTAATATGTTACAATGATTATTTCTATAGATATTAATATAAAAATATTAGGTTATTATAATATTAAAACCAATTTAATTACGTAACATTGTTATATCTATTTGATTATGTACATTTAAAAAGATATTGCAACGATTGTAATATTATTAGTATTTTATGCGTTTTGCGCAAATATGATATTGCCCGTGTCTATTTTTAAAGAGGGTACTCAATAAGATATATTGCAAAAAAAAAAAAGAAAAGAAAAAAAAAAGAGAATATAATTAAATACCACTTGATATTGATTCTAGTGTAAAGAATAAATAATAATTACTACAATAAGAAATTGGTGAGTTGGGGAAAAACGAAATTGGTGAATAAACATTTATATATAATATAAAACTCCTAAGATTTAAGAACTCATCATAAATTTATAAAATAAATAAATAACTCAACAATATTTATAATGGACTGGTCAATCAAAATTGATTGTTTAAATCAATTTTGCCTTAGCTTATACTATCTCTTTTGTTCAATGTTTTCGTAACTTTGAATACTTATAGTCAATTAAGTCATTTTTTTTTTAATTATAAAGGAAGGGGAATACCCATACAATATACACCTACATTAAAACTCAAAACCTAGACATCCCACATATAGGAACAATCCGATACCAGTAGACCACAAACCACTTGGTAACAATTAAGTCATTTTTGGGCACATGTTATTATACTATCAAGATTAATTCACAACTTTAACTTTTGTCATTGTCCTCCTTATTAAACTCGTCACACAAAATTATTATTTGTAAAAATAAAAATGCATCTTTTATATATGGCCACAAAATTTTCACATTAACGTAATCGTTGGTCAATTAAAAATTAGAGTTAATTATCAAAATGGTCCCTTGACTATAGTAAAATTATCAATTTGGTCATTGACTATTTTTTTGAGCAATTAGGTCCCTCAACATTAAAAATCTTAACCAATTTGATCATCCGTTTGTTTTGTCGTTAGACATTCGTTAATTCAGAACTAAATTGGTAATTTTGCATAGTCAAGAGACCATTTCGGTCATCACATGCACCACTTCTTCCGAAAAGTTATTACCGAAATGGTCTATTGACTGT